AGACTTTGAAACTGTGTGTTATGAAATCGTGGTTCCGTCACGGTTCAGTCACGGTTCCGCAAGATCCGGATGGCATGAACAGAACGATTTCGTCATCCGTGAGAAGTCAAAAAAAAAAAAACCTTTAGGAACAGCACACTTCCGACGTTGGAAACGGAGAGTAATGAAGTACATCACACGGTTCAAACATGAAAATGCATAGGATTTCTCAGTACTGTTTATACTGCTGATCATAGCTGGAAACCTCTGGTAGCTAGTATTCAGGGAACGAGACGCATCGGGTAGAGATTATTTTAATATACGACGAGCGATTTGAGCGCATACCGTCCATTTTAAGTTCAATGGTTTACAGAATTCGATAGCTGGTCGAAAATAGATCAGTGCAGGAAGGGTCGGACCAGAGAAACTGCTCCCTACACTTAATGATCCATAAAAAACATTTTTGGGGATAAGTTCATTGACTGATAACTTGCAAGGAACTGCTGTTTCATTTCAGTACCTATGGCGGACCATGATTATTGTATGGAATGTAGGGTATAAGTAACTCCGAAATTGACCTAACGTAAGCTACAAAGTCCTTCCAAATAAAAGATAGAAGATAAAACTTGAGGATTTGATCAATCCCTGAGGGATGCGCCAAGCATTGGTCTTCATTAAGCATCGTTGGAGGTGATTGGATGTATATCTGGCCTTAACAATGGCTCGCGGTAGCTTGCCGATGTATAGAGACAGTGCTGCTATCCTACCAAACATGTCTGCTACCAATCTGCCGACCCCGGAAGGATGGAAGGCTTGGTGAGGCTTGCGCGGGGGTCAATTCAATGTGTATTGGAGGGCGTCTCCGACCACTGCGCTACACGCACCTTCCAAATACTGACAGCAATGCACGTGTAGTATCGTATAGGAAATAGTAGCATACATACCCATAAAACGGCAAAGTAAAGCCTTTTCTACAATCCTGTGATGTTCAGGACCTCTGAACTCTTCTAGTCATCATGAAATAATGGCTTAATGTGAAAAAACCAGCAAACCCATAAAGCTGAATATTAGGCCTCATTTGTTGTGTGTTAAAAGAACTGTTAATACGATGGTTTATCGAGATGATGTCCCACCGATTCACGAACGCTAGTGAGTGTGCATGGTGAAGACGAAAGCGCCATGGCACAACCCTTTTGGGTTTCCAGGGAAAATCAAGCTGGACCAATATTCAACACGTTTAAGTATTGGAGATCGGTTGATCAGAAGCGCGACGACGATACATAAACGATACGCCTTGGGGACTTTCTTTTCCTATTTGCATACCTGGTTCCTTACAGCATGACTTCAAAGTTCAACTAAACGCTGAGTAACACGTCACGTACAATCTGATCGCCCTTCGGTAAACAAAAACCAGGAACGCTTGACTGACCAGATGGACAATAGGACCATGCTCTTATAGCAACAGGAACCATGAGAAGATTTCAAAGCTTAGTGTTGACGACGTTCACACTGTTCGTACCCACCTTATGGACCGTCGTGGAATTCTGTCTTCCGATTTCGCACCTTACCCCTACACTCGTCTAGAAGGAAATCTCTCTCATTCACTGTACCGACTGTCAATACAGCTAAGACAATGAGCCAGAGTTTCAGTGAACTGATTTCGTGAAATACAGTCTGAGTTAATTGTTAGATCTGAGTCATTACTGGTTCGAGATAGAAAGCGCGACTTCGTACCAAATACAACGAAGTGACTATGTTCAGGAAAGGAAGGAACACAAGCGCCAAGAGGAAGATGGAGACAGTATGAGCACTGACTGAGCCAACTAACTCCGATGATTAATAGTGTATCCTAAACACCTCCTGTAATGCGAGGAGTATAGCAACTATTGCCAGAATAACCACAACGTTGCTGAGATATTTGCAAAACTCTGGACCGCAGGTGTCTATGGTGGGGAACGAACGCGCTATTATCCTTTCCGGGGAGTAACGCTCGTACGAAAAGTTCGAATGAAGGCACAACAGCTCCTATACAAAGTACATGTGTGAATTTTATTGAGAAGTGACAAAGTACATCGGATATTTTGTGTAGAATATTGTCTGTACCAATTGCTATTCACCAACATTAACTGATGGTTAGATACGGCACTCGATGCGAGTTACGTTGACCATGAAGTGCTCATCCATGAGGGCAACCACTTTATTGATTCAAGTCGTGAAACCTCAATACTAACAATAACTGCGAAACAACACGACTGCAGAATGGGGAACTTTGAACCATAAAATCGCAGAAAAATGCAAATCACGTTGAAATAATGTTCCCTATGATTTGACTCTTCCTTGTTCCTTTTCGAGAAGAATATAGAGAACACTAATGAAAGAAGGAATATTATCCATCTCCTAATGCTCTGCTGAATCCATAAATTTCTTTCCCACAACCATCCCATGTACTTGCTTCACAGCCGGTCGCAAAGTGCTCTCTAAGTCTTTGTATGTTAGCAGCTGTTCATTGCAAAAACTAGTGGTTTAGAAGCAGTCTGTAGCCTTTACGTGTGCAAATGTCTGTATGTCCTTAAAAAGACTGGCTGGGAAAGAGTTGCGTTCACGACAGTAGTATCCGCCTTCAGATGGAATCTAATATTGGCCATGAGACATTCTGCTCATCTCTTCTCCCGCTACTTCTTAATACTTATTGTTTCCACTGCCAATCGATTCTCTCAGCGTGGTCTTAGTTCTTTTCCTTGTATGTATACAACACATATGGACCGGCTAAGCACTGACAACTGCAAGCAATTTCCAGCCTATCATCTTATCACACTTCGCTTGGCTCGATCTTCTTCATTCATCAGAATCCCACGTCAAAGGTCCCATCTAACAAGTGCATCCTCAAATCTACCGCACCGAGCCGATGTTACAGTGCGACTTCACAAATTTACTCCTAAATAGGCGACTCTCCAAAGGCAATAGCTACGTAGCACTCAGGAACTCCGAATTACTTAGCGTCGCAACACAGGTAGGCCAACCAAAGACCAATTCCAGTTCACAGACAGAATGTCAGTTTTCTGCCCAACAACTTAACATTTTAGCGACTTCCTGTCAACCTATCAGAATGTCGAGTATCGCGGTCCAAGTCTAGCAACAATTATTCAACTAGTTATCTAATCGCTGTCTAATCAATCGACTTGCACCAGGACCGCCGATCAGTCCGTGCAGAGAAAGGCGATCACCGTTGTAAGCGCGGATGTCCATAAGGTACGACTCTCGTGGAGCATGGTCAACTCTCTGTAAACGACGGCATCGAGCCGTGTTTGCGCACCGAATAAAATCACCGCCTTTTTCTGGCGAAGATTCCTTCTAGCCATAAACTGGGGAAGAGACCGACTAAACATGCGAAAAAAAGAAATCGAGCCATATTAGACGGATCCACTATCAATCATTCCCTATACAAATTTTACCAGCGGGAGAACGAACATACCACAGAAAACTATGTAAAGTCGTAGTGAAAATTCCTTGCGCTTGCGCTGAGGAACCTCTTCTTGGCACAAATCCTCTCACTATTCAGCAAGCATGTCCAAATTGTACGCTACAGTATCTGATTGACGTATGAGTTGATTCAATGCAAAAGGCTCATTTTCTTGTGGTATGCAAGAGTGAAATGTTTTTATGGTGGGCGCAGTTCGAACACCATTTGAGTAAGTCAGCCTTTATAGAAGCAATACAACAATAGCAGCACAGCAACATAAGAAAATGTGGATTTGCATAAAGGGTAGCCATAATGGATCGGTGATGAGTACAGTATGTGGGTAGAGCTCAACTACAGGGAGTATGGAAAAGAGAAGGGAAGGATTGTGAAAATCTTTAAGCGAATGACAAGGGAATGATAATGCCTATATCCTTTGTGGAAAGGGTGGAGGTAGAATGAAGTTTCCGAGTTTACCGGCTAGTGCAATCTTACAGAACCAAACAAAAGTGTGGAGACAGAGATCGGGTTGTAGTTGTTACAGAACAGTTGATTCAATCGTATTCCAGTACACACGAAAAAGCACCTTAGATAAGTATAGTGGAAAGTTTGTACAATAAAGGATGCCCTGAACACTTCTCAAAATACACTTTAGGTCAGGTGTGTATGAGTAAATACATAACCTTTGCTGCAGTGTTCTCTAGGACATGTACACCACTAACCTAAAAGATAGTACATAGGAATAAACGGTCCAGATAGTTCTCCACGAAGTCGAGAACAGTCTCTACATCTGATAAGAAAGATCTGGGGTCTGTAAGACCCTTCAAAATGTTGAAAATAGACGGAACGCATGGTTCAAATTACAAAAAACACTGCTCGAAATTGTGGTCCGCACGTGACGAAGCGAAGACGAAGCATGAAGTAATCGTCAGCATTACAATGCGTCGATGGTTAACGATGGAATGTGATAATAAAATCTTCGCCAAATATCCTCTTGGAATCGTTTGCTTCCGATTAAGACTATACTTCTGCGAAGAGAATGAAAGGTGGGAATTCCTCTCAAGATCAGGAAAAAATGGCTAGACAGGAATACAAAAACGAATTGAACAGAGTTACTGAGCTTTGTCGAATTGAAAGAAGCAAACACACGAGATATCAGATTAAAAAGCGTTTCATCGATAAGCTAAAACGAGGTTGTTACCAATATTTATTCGGTTAACGCTTTGACGTCTTCATCTTCATCAGAGCTGATGATCCGAATCGATGCCCACAGTCGTTCGTCTTTTCATCGTCTTCGTCGCGCACCGAGCCAGACCTTCTTCATGGAAGCATCGCTCGGATGAGGCATATTCACCTAGAGATTCCCTTATATACAGGATAGTTCCTACTGATAGTCATGATTGTCCGATGGTAACAACTGTTTCTTCGGACAATCAACCGAAGACGAAGAGACATCAGCCGAATAAATATTGGTAACAGGCACGTGTTAGCTTATCAATGAAACAAGGTACATTGGTCAATTATACCGACGTTTAAAGCCGGTTTACAGCAAAAAACGCTTGTTTTATTCTAAATTGAAATGAACACGAAAATTATACGTGAAGAAGTCGACGTCACGAAGTGGCGCTGAATGTATCGTGATTTCATCACGATTTTGTTCGAAACGAACTATACATGCTCCGCCTTCTACGAGTAACTCACGTACCTTAAATACAAGACAAATACAAAACATTTCCTTTGCCGTAGTTCAACGCTATCTCATGCCCAACTGAAACACCAAAATGTTGGATTACGAGTTCTGGCCTTCAAAGGTAATTTTACCACTTGAAAATAAGGTTTAAGTGACGTCAAAATTCTATATGCGAATATATGGAACATTCCGCATAAAAAAAACAATTTGGTCTGAAATTTTCTCACCGAATTCAATACATTGGAAAGCAAATTCATGCAAACACTTCCGGACCATTCACCTCGTTCTGGAAGCTCAGATATTTGCACAGATTCCACCTAAGCAGGTCCAAATAGAATTGCTCCCGAATAGTTACTCAAATCGTGAAGTTACAATCAAGTTATGAACTGATAACCAATAATGGCCAACTTATTAAAACTATTATTGGGCTTACACTAGTAGTTCAATTGAAGATTTAAGTATACAACCTGAAGTACCCGTTAACCAAGTCAATGTAAAACAATTTTAAAGTGAACAAAAAAAAAGTCACCACAATGCTGAAATGTTTCGCCATATTTGTATTTCACAAAAGCAAATACGAAAAACCATAAAATGGTTTACCGCCTCATCGTGGCTGGGAGGTGCTCCTGGGTGTCGGACTGTGATGTACAGTGGGGGGATTCAACCCCCTAGCAGGGCTTCCTAAGCTGAGAAAGAGTCCAACGTTTCCATCAGGAAGCCCAGCTAAAAGCAAACCAATACCAGGATCCACCACCGTCCTGGTATCAAATTAGTCGAATGGTGGCAAATTTCCCTGTAATCCGCAAGGGCGGCGACTGACTGTGGTGGTGACGACCTGGGTAGACTTTGACCAGGAAGACCACGGGACTACAAGGAACCATAATGGTTTAACCAGCAAATCTCCGAGAAAATGGAGATTATGCTGGGGCCCACGCAACCAGTGAGGACGGGCCGTTCAAGTATCCAATTAAATATGAAACAACAATAAAATTAAATTAAAAGCAAGTTAAGACAGAAGTTTGAGGACCTATCACGCCACCGACAAGGATCAAAACAAAGAACAACCGCTAGTCAAGTTTTAACTTCTAGCCATGATATAGTGCGCACCAAAACCATCCAGAGTTACTGTGTTATGAGACATACTGCTTCCGGAAAACACACGCTCACTATTAGAATTGGGTCCAAGTTTTTCGCCTATGCAATCCATTTCCAAATCAATCCTGCGCAGGATCATGTGCAGCCTGCATGAACTTCAAGGTCAGCTGCGTTAAAGAGCCAGGCTAAAAATGTTAGGTAAAGAGCTGCCAAGAGCAGAACTACCACCATCTCCTATACCCCGACCTTTCATTAAGCAAGAGCTACGAAATAGCGATATTGACCCTGCATTTCGTTTATTTTCGGACAAAATTCTCCGCATACTTAATCATTACCAACATAGAAAATTAAGCTCCAACCTTACACACCAACAAAAGTGTGGTATGCGCCAGGTTAGAGAGCTGTTGAATTCGAAATCCACGCGACTTTCCATTACTGATAAAAGTGGATAATTTGTGGTTATTCCTAGTCACTTGGACGCTAGAATAACAAAAAAACATCTCTACTATGTTCCTCTCTATCGAGCATCCTCTGAAAAGGAATATAGGAATCAACACCGAAAGTTAAATATGGGATGGGTCAATACGGTACGGCAAAGGCAGCGGGTTTAGAGCCTTCAGTTATTTTTCGACTAAAAATCGAACACCCGATTTGCACTGTCCCTTAGTTACTTATTAAGACACATAAGCTTACTGATGACCTTGCCTCCACCGATCCAACTTCATTTAAAGTGAAACCAATCATCAGTTGTATACGTGGGTCAACCGATGGAATAACGCGGTTCCTAAACCTTATCCCGACCCAGTTGCTAAAACTCATTCCAGTTCATTTACTTAACACCAAAATATTTGTAGACCACCTACGGTGCGCGCAACCAAACAGCACCCGTGTAATGGAGACATTCGATGTTGCTTCACTTTATACCAACGTGTCAAATGACTCCGCAATGCAAACCATTCTCGAGTTGTTTGTAGAGCACGAAAAGAAAATTAAAATGTACGAATTTTCGATTGCGCAACTAATGACTCTCTTAAAACAGTGTCTTAGTTTTTTTTTGCAGTCTTTAGGAGGCCTGGAAAATATTTTGCCGAAAGTAGAGGGTTGGCCATGGGACAATAACTAGCACCAACCCTTGCCACCGCTTCCATGTCTAAGGTGGATGCTCCAGTTCTCGATCACCGACCTTTACCCTACTGTCGATACATAGACGACTGCTTCGTCTTTTCCACACAAGAACAGATGGATAAGTGCTGTGAATTGTTAAACAAACAGCCAGAGTATATAAAATTCACACGGGAAAAACCAAACGAGAATTGGCTTCCATTCTTAAACATCCAAATAAATTCTTCGTATTTTTGTTGAGCAAACGGGAGGTGTTATTATTCTTTATTCACGAATAAGCTGACGTTTCGGCGGATTTCGCCTTCCTCATAGAAAGCGGCTCTGATCAATGCCGAGGTTAATAAAAAGTCGGTAGTGGGAGTTACTGCAAAATGTACCAGCAAGATACATCCAAATAAAGCTCTCTGAAGATGGCCATATAACAAAATGGTATCGTAATCCAAGTAGTAAAAATATATACTAGTTCACTACCTCCCCACTCATCCATCACGTGTGAAAAAAGCACTTGTCAAAAACATGTTTCGAACGGCTAAAAATGTGTGCACAGGAAAAGAGGAAAGGGAAGAATCACTAGACCTGGTACGAAAAATTGCTACGAAGCAGAAGCCACTCGGGTCAGACAAAAACGTAAGGTAGTTCCCCAAAATAATGTTTTGAACGTAACTAAGATCCCTTTTAAGCTACCTTTCAAATCAAATAAAATATGTTACGCCATTAAGAGATGCCTAAGAAAAGGTGGTCTTGAAAATTATGTAATGATTATTGACATCCCACCCAATACCCTACGTTAGCTCGCAACTGTCTCCATGATCGCTTGTGCAGCTCAGAAAACTGTGTGATCTGTCCTAACGGGAGTGACGAGGATTGCATGAGTTTAGGTATAATATACTTGATCTCATGTAACGCATGCGGCGAAGAGTATATTGGGAAAACGGGTAGACCACTTTGTGTCCGCATAAAAGAACATCTAGATGGAATAGCTAAAATCCGTTTAAACACCCCTCTAGGTACGCATAGGGCACAAAAGCACAACGGCGATGGTTTTGAAGCGACTGTGACTGTGCGGATCCTAGCGCAGGAATCGAAAACATCAATGCGCAAAACTCTTGAGGCGTTTTTGACAAACTTCAAAAATCCAAATATGAACCGGAAAGACGAATGCCTCGATATCACGCGTGACCTGGCGACTTATTTTAAAATGATACTTTGACCTCTGGGTGGGTTTCGCTCGCGACACCACGTGGACAACGCGTGAACCAGTCTCACACCTACCAGCACGGTGAGTAGCCTTTTTGGTCCAAATGGTGTTTGTTTGAAAACTTGATCTTCATTAATACTATAAGTATTTCACCGAATATAAGACTTCTGTTAGATAAAATACGTCTAGGCCCTGAGAAAGTCGAAATCGGCGAAAGGTCAGCCATAGACCAACAACACCAATAGCAAGGACAACAACAACAACAACAATGACGAAGACCTAACCTCCCAACAGCTCAAAAAGATCAGTTTATAAAATTGTATAGGCAAATACATCAACAAAAAAATATAAGCATGAAAGGGGACTCATCAAAACTATTAATTCGAACCAACAAACCTTCTTGACGATTCCATCATCGTTACGATAGCCGACAATTAAATGATCGATACCAACTAGGAACGATTGTAACCACCATTTCATACTCTTCTGCTTCCAAAATACGCCTTCAAGGGCGTGACGTTGGGTTTTCAACTCCACCAAACGGCCATCTGCAGTTGAATAGTGAATAAGTTCCTTCCCTTATTAGTCACAGATTAAAAAAATTTTAATACCATCTAACTGAAAGGAATCAGAAAACGAAATGACTAAGAAACAAACTGGCAAAAAAATCCTTCTCACTTCTGTTGATGGCATCCACTTCTGCACCGTATACCAATTGCAGTGGTGTTCCCACAGATGTTCCAAGCTCCGAGCGGACAACAACGCCAAATTCCTCACGAGATGTTACCGGCGTATTCACACTGGGCTCTCCCTCGAAAAAATAATTTCCGGTTTGGCTAGTGAAACATTTCAAAAATCCCCAAGGTCATAATTATTCGATTAAAAAACATTATAATAGTTTAAAAAATGACCTTTAAAAGTTTACTCTCTAATTGGGATAGATAAAATTGCTTCTTATCGAACTGCTATATGCAACAAAGGTTTCATCTCCACAAGGACAGTTAACCAAAGCTTGAAAGGAAATCGAAATTTGCATTCGGATTTCCAGTCAAAACCAGAATAAAAATAAGAAGCCTCGCCATCCTTTCGCCGCTTATCAAACGGAGTTTCATAGGAGACTCGTTGCTGGACATACGAATAACTAAAACTCGTGAAGAGATCGATTACGTGATCAACGTCCTCTCTTTTGGAGTGTTCTATTTAGCTATATAATAATGAACAACTACAGCCATACTATAATGGGAGGAAACGTCGTGCGTGATGACGTTCAGGATGGGCCCGCATTTGAGATGATTAACAGATAAAGAAAGAATGAACCGAAAATTTTCAGTTCAAAATTTCACCACCTATTACTAACATCTCCAGCCAGGGCATGGAATTGACAAGGAAAAATGTTTCTCGCCTCAGATCTCAAAAATTCTGCTGGAGAAAAAACCGAATTCTACCTTCTGAAGTGCAACTTACTACCAAGAGCATATAGCATGGCTCCTCGACTAATAAACACCACAACTGATTTCCTTCGAGTAGAAAGTCATGAACTAAACCATTTGTCGTAAACCACATGAAGATGAATCGCTCGTTAGATCCCTATAATGATCGCAGGTCACCTGCCTTCAAAAGGAAAGAATTCTGGACCATTACAGGAACTGAAGCACGACCAGGCCACCAATGCTTACGAAACATAACGAAGACAGTGAAGAGGACTTTGCATAACGGAGAAAAAATACGAACTTTAAAAAAGTCCACTATACGATAGAACACGAATCGGAATATGTGGATTTGGCCACATCAAAAATTTATGAAACACGAGCAGTGAGCGTGAAAAAACCAGACTTGTCTAGGAGGATAGCAGCACTGGCTGGATACATCGGTAGGCCACTGTGAGTCATTGTATAGGCCATATACGCATTCAATCACCTCTAACGATGCTTAAAAAACTCGAATGCATGGCGCATCTCTCAGGAATTGATCAACGCCGATAGTTTCATTCTTTATACCATTTAACTTCTCTACTATTACCTGGCCGACCTGTTTGTGAGGGCGGAACTTTTTGAATGTTGCCAATTTCAAAGGCGCTTTAGTGCGCATATCATAACACGGATATAAATAGTTTTTGATGAGGACTGTTCTTCTTTGCCCAACGTCTTCTTTAGCCGGTGAGTTTACGCAAGAAGAATAAGCTTCGGTGCTCTGAAATGAATCGAAATCCACAAGCCACGCCGTAACTTCACCTACTCCACCAGAAACATAACAAACAATCCCAATCATCACTGTTTTCTGTTCGATACTGTATTTGCGCTCGTCATCTCCTTATTGCTGCTTTGCTTTGTGATGTGAAGAACACAGTCGTTGAGCTCTCTTTTTACGTACTTGGATGGCCCATCTTCACTGGTTGTGCAGGCCCCAGCGTAATTTCCGTTCTCTGGAGATTTTGCTGGCTTAGCTATTGTGGTTTCCTGGAGTCCCGAGAACAACCTGGCCAAAGTCTGTCCCAGGGCCTCACCACCACAGGCAGTCATCGCCCTTGTGGATCAGTGGGAGATTTGCCACCACGCGACTTTGAAACCAGGACGGTGGTGGATCCTGGCATTGGTTTACTCTTAACTGGGCTTCCTGATAGAAACGCCGGACTCTTTTTCACCTTAGAAGACCCTGCTTAGGAGGGAGAGGTGATAAATTCACGTTGTACATCGCAGCCAGATACCCAAGAAGACCTTCCAGCCACGATGAGGCGGTAAACTCTTGAGAAGTAAGCTCTCTGTTTAAACTACCCGTATTACTCACTGCCGTATATCACGTGCATTACCGTTGTAATAATCACTGATCCATTAGATCTACTGTAGTTTCACGTACAGCCTCTACAATGTTAATCTCATTACACTGGTAACGTTGGACTGGTATGTAACATATACAAATCTGAGCTACGCTCCAAACGGTTTGCCACCTCATCGCTGGTGGGAAGTGTTTCTGGGCGTCGGGCTGTGATGTACAACGAGGCGATTTATCCCGCCGGCAGTCTCCCAAGCTGAGGAGTCCGGCGTTCCATCAGGAAGCCGAGCTAAAAGTAAATCAATACCAGGATCCACCATCGTCCTGGTACCAAACTAGTCGCATGGTGGCAAATTTCTCTCTAATCCAAAAGGCGGTGACTGCCTGTAGTGGTGAGGACCAGGGACAGACTTTGGCCAAGTTGTTCTCGGGACGCCAGGAAACCACAATAGCTAAGCCAGCAAAATCTCCAGAGAACGAAAATTAAGCTGCGGCATGCACAATCAATGAAGACAGGCCATCCAAGTACCCAAGTGAGTAAGTAAGTAATCTACGCTAGACGCTAGAGATCTAATAGTTCGAAGACGCGTGTGGGAAATAGCGAGCAAACCCAAGCAGACGCAAATGAGCAGCACACCATCGCGTAGCACTTCGTTCAAAGGAGAAAATCAACGTTCAGTATTTCCATTCAGAGCTTAACATTGTGGATTCATTTGGCGCCTACAACCTACAGTTCTATTGCAGTACCTTAACACTGGAATTTCTATTCTGCGATTATCACTTACAGTTCCTCAATTGTTATAAAGTAGCACCTATATTTCCAGATCATACTCGACATCTCAACAGCTCCAACTTCGAAAATCGAGCAAATTAGCAGCCACTATTAATCGTCTAACTAGTTCCTGTGTTACTTTAACTTATTATTTATTCTGTAAATAGTTACCTAGTGTTAGACTGCTACATGGCTGGTTTAAAGCTTTAAATCCATATTTTTAACTCAAAGGTCCTCCCAACGCTCCTACGCAGCTCAGCCCTCGGCTGGTACCTCAACTAGGTCGACAAATTTGGGTAACATCTAACGCTTGAACGACATAACTAAATCGTATTTCGTAAACACAGTAACACAAAAGCTGACATCTATCGCCTCATGTGATTCTCGTATTTCGTCTTCAAATCCTTAACTCGAGTTATCCTGACAGCATACTGAACGCAGAACAGTTATGCAAACAAGAAGGGTTTGGAAAAGGACTCATTACGTTAGACCACAAGCACACACATATCCACGGTTCAAAATCCTCCAAAATTTAGACAACTCTTTAGCGAGAATCTACCATCCCGCTAAAACTATTTACAACCACCTATAAGAAAGTTATGTGCAAATCTGGACGGGACAACATGGGACCGCAAGTTGAAGGTCGGCAAAGACATCATCATCGTACTAGATAGGCGGAACGAGTGTTGACCGACTTGGATACCGCTTGTGGAAAGATTAATCCTTACTTAGATCTCATGAAAACGATGTTCATAAGAAACAGATTCATTTCTCACGCCCTATTTACGCTGAACAAAATGAATGTTTCTAACAGCTGCTCGTTAACTCGACAATGAACCGCACAAGTGACAGAGGTCGCGTGAGTAGGTAGGAAAATTCTTGACTTCTACATGCTCATTATTGGCAAAATTTATCGCTAAATCACTTTTGTATATGTTTAACCCCTCTCTGCCATCTGCCGAAGCTCCACGAAGCGACGTCGTAAATCCGTTCAAATTTCCTCACGAAGAAGATCCGTGGACTGTTATGAGCTACGCGCTGTCTGACAAACCTAAGTTTCCAAAACCTTCTGGAGAAAGTATGTATTGAAAAGAGAGGCATGAAAGCGATGAAGACCTCTAGTAATAGCAAACAGTTCAAAAATTTGTTCTTTGCAGTATGAAAAGAGAACGAAAACTTACGTCTTTTTCTGCTACAGTCATGTATTGCTCGAATTTAAAACCCCAATAAGACATTAACTTGTCTCTTTGAGTCATCGCCTGCTTCCTGAAGAAGAAGCAATCACTTACAATGATGCTGGTTAATAGAGACCGAACGAGAAGACTTCATTAGTGCAGTGAATAACACGTGAATCCCGGGAAGGAAAGGGTAATCGCGTGTTCAATCTTGCCTGAGTTCCTAGTTTTGCAATTATCGCAGCATCTCTGTGGTTGTATTTTACATAACACCCTGCCGTGGAGAAAGAAATAATAGGCAGTATGGTAAAAATTATCCATAGTATTCACCTGGTCACGGAAAAGCACTCGATATTGCCCTTGAACTAAAAAAAAAAATTTGGACCACATCGAGGTTAACTGATTGCGATCGTGCAGATAATTTCAATAGCATTTCTCTTACTTAACTTCGTCATGGATAATCAATATCTTGGGGTGGGTGCGTCGCTCTCCTTCTAAACTCATCTCGTGGGGTTACTATTCGAAAAAACTGGCTTCCGTTTTTGAACGTTCAAATAAACCTATCAAGTAGCGGTTACTTGACAAAGTGGTACCGAAAGCCAAGTAACAAGAATATCCTCGTTCATTTCCTTTCTTCCCACCCTTCACACACAAAGAGGGCGATTGTGAGAAACATGTTTCGAACAGCCACCTTTGTGTGCACTACCAGAGAACTGAAGGAAGAGTCGCGCGACTTGGCTCGGCAAATAGCCATCTCCAACGGCTACCAAATATAGCCCCACGAGATAAGTTTACAAGGAGAACGACGCGTCCACGCAAAACACTTGGCCAAAAGAAAATCCCGTTTATGTTGCCTTTTATAAGCGATGAAGTAAGCGNGCTACCAAATATAGCCCCACGAGATAAGTTTACAAGGAGAACGACGCGCCCACGCGAAACACTTGGCCAAAAGAAAGTTCCGTTCATGTTGCCTTTTATAAGCGATGAAGTAAGTGTAGCTATAAAACGATGCTTAAGAAGGGCAAGTCTAGAGGAATCGGTAGCGATAGTTGAAATACCACCGGCTGCTCTACATCGTCAGTTAGTTCGTAACCGCCTGTATGACCGTCTGTGTGAAACAACAAATTGCGTAATTTGCCCTTACGGCAGGGACGGTCAATGCATGAGTTCAGGCACGATATACCTGATCTCTTGTAATAATTGCGGAGATGAATATATTGGCGAAAAGGGCAGACCTTTGTGCATCCGTATAAAAGAACACCTAGATGGCAAACGAAAACTAAGACGAAGCACCCCATTAGGCACGCATAGGATACAAAAGCATAGCGGAGACGATTTTGAAGTAAAAGTCAATATCCTTGCACAGGAGTCCAAAACACCAGCACGAAAACTCCTTGAGGCTTTTGGATAAATGTCAAAAACCCTACAATGAACAGCAGGGACGAATGCCCGGAGGTCATACGTGACTTGATCCCGTACGTTCGCAACAATTTCTGATGTGGGATGGTGCAGTCATCAACCATGTGCGACTATAATCAGCTGTTCTAAACTTCCTCATTGGAAGTCACGCAAAAAGCGGTGAGTTTCTCGAGAAGCTGTTGATCATGTAATTACCATAGAGTTTTTCGTCTTTTTGTCAGTGTTATTAAGGTGTTTGGCCTAGTAGATTGTATATCAGTACACCCTTCCAGGCTCTGAAGAAGGCGATACTGCCGAAACCTCAGCTAGTGTTGTATTGTATTGTGTTTTTCTATGGAAGTAAATGTATGCTGCTTAAAAAACCTCGCGATTGCTAAACAAGAAAACGACGCGTTATTTTTTCTGTAATTTCTAATATGATCGCACCACAACGTTGCTGAGATATTTGCAAAACTCTGGACCGCAGGTGCCTATGGTGGGGAACGAACGCGCTATTGTCCTTTCCGGGGAGTAACGCGTTCACCACCACACCATGCGGGTCCTTTGTTTCGCACGTCTCTCAGCTATTTCTATCGATCTTTTTGCCACAGCAATCACCCGTCAGCGGGGTTGATCTGGGGAGCGCAAATCGGCATAGAACCCAGTTAAGCTATGGCTGTAGTTGAAATCACAATGTTTAACGTTTTAGACACCTGCGGTCCAGAGTTTTGCAAATATCTCAGCAACGTTGTGGTTGTATTTCGCTTACTTAGTAACCTGCCATGAAAATTATAGAAGGCAGAAAACAAAACGTTAAACATCATGATCGCACCATTTGACAATACCAATGACGCATTTGATACAGCTTAATAAATAAGAGTTCCGAGAGAAAAACGACTCGTGGTCTCTGGTAGACTACAAGTAGTAGCATTTCGGTTTAAAAAAAAGTAAATTTGTCTCACTGGAAAAAGTGTTTAGACTGTATTTACTTTTGTTCCAAACAATAAAACCAACCGTGGGGTAGAACCTGTGTGAATAATTGGGGATCGAATTCTCTCAACAGATTCGTTCCACTGTTGTTTCGACTTTTATTGATACGAGCAAGAAATGAGATGGAAAAAGACGTATAATTAGATAAAATTGATTTGAAGATCTATTCTCCTCTCATAATTTCAGACGATAGCGTTTCAAAAAAAACTTTACTCACCTCTGTTTTGTATACTCTGTTTCTCTTTCACATAAAAAAATAACTCCTTTAATCTGTGCTGCAGCGAATTCCCATGCATCCTTCCGAGAGAAAGGTGTGGAAGCTATCCGAGTCAGAAGACCACGCCAGCACACGAAATCGGCTTCATGTAGTACCTAAACAAATTAATAAGCCAGATAAAGTGACTTCACTCATTCTCAATAACAAAAACTTCTTCCTACAAGAGATGAATGATTAAACAAATCCACATTTATTCATCTCCTATGGAAATGTTATACGGAATGATTCAACATCTAGCCCCTATAGTGGTTTAACCAAGGATCGCGTAGTAGTATTTTTATCCCCACAGACAACTCTCCGGCCAACTGACCGACCCTAGATGGATGGAAATTTGCTTAGCAGGGAGTGTCAGGTACCTCTACCCACTCAGCTATTCGCACCGCTGTTGATCACTATAATTTTCGGAAAACTGCAAAGGCATCACAGTGGAAGGCCAAGTTTCTCTTTAATTCGAAATTGGAATGAATCCTTCTACAACTATTTAACTCTAAATCGCGATATACTTTGAAGTGGTTTAGCTAGTGAGAGAGGAAACCACGTGTATCATAATTAATCGGCAAGCTTTCATTCAGTTTTCTCACGTCCTAGAGATGTAATGGTATAAATAATATTACAGTAAATCAAATAAGTATACCTTTTTCAAATGGCCACCACGTGGAGCTTGACTGACAATCCAATCCAGTAAGACATCCAGTCTTTCATCACCACTCTAAGAAACAGAGATAGGGAAATAAATAAGAATTTCCGCAACTCCAAAACAGTAGAGTCTTTTGCAACGTTTAGTCTTCGAGAAGACAAAAACGATTAAACACACTAATTACTTCCTAAAAAAACGAAAAATGAAATAAAAAATTTAGCTCTTAAAGTGTTATACGAACCTCGATCAAACTCGATCGACAAGTGTAGATAGAACTTTACGTTCTCTACGTCACTTATAAATCTTCACATGAGATTAAAGCACCTGCTTATCCCCAAGAATACTTTTTATTTTTATTTTACATAACTCGAGATGAGGTATTGTAGGAATCCTAGCAATTCTTTCACTCAGATCTTTGCCTTGCAACCGCCATCCACAAAACTTTTTGGATTTTGCGTGGGAGTGGCTGTCATTTCAAGAGTTTCCCTTCTTCTTGAATTTCATTATATGTGACCAAGTCGGTTGTTCTTTGAATCCTAGGATAGTTGTCCTAAGGCCTTCTGAGGTTTCAGGACAGGTAGTCGAAAGCCTACGTAGATGGGGAAGCTCTTACCTGATAAGTATGACACTAATATTATTATTATCAAGTAAAGTTTGCCAATCGCAGAGATGCAATAGGGTCGGATCATCTCCCATGCGTGCATTATTGCACGGCATTTTTATCCACTACGCTTCCAGCATTCGATGACAACAAATATGACAAGCCTGGGACAAGTTTGTCCGAATAGTCTACAAGTAGATGACTGCTCACCGTCGTGAAAAAAACTCTGTGCGCAAAAAACAGAACAGCTAGAGCTTCAAATGAAGTCTAATTGAGGAAAACATTGTTAGGTATATAGTAACGGGTTATTACATTTTTCGGAAAGCCCCGTATTTTGCGTGTAAGTTAGACTTGAGAACTTTATCACATTCAGGAATGTCATTGAAAGGTAGTCGAATCGGCTGCTCTGGCATCCTGGGAAAGCCGTGATAGCGTATTCCTAGACCTTTTTGACTACAGGATGATTTTTCCAGACGGTTCTCCAGCACCGATATGATGGGAGCCACCCTAAGCTCGCAGTCAAGTCGAACGAGAACCTTACGCGTATTAAACGATACCGCTCCCACGGCGCTACGCGCAGCCCCTCTTGATAAAAATACCGCATGCTATCGTGTTTTCGCTAAATTAGGTTTTGGTAAGAGAACGACTCACCTTTTCTTCGAAAGTACTGAATCCCTTGTTTAGGTCAAGATTCACCGCGCCACCATCAGCCAGTGCAGCTTCATACAAATACTTAGCATCTTCTCGACCTGGCACCAAACGTCGATCTCGGGTTACCTAATAGTGACTCACCTGTTTTGAAATCTGTGATTTTCATCGGAAATCTGACTACTTACAAATCGTACGTTCAACTCTATGGTCTTTCGTGAATCTGTTTTAATTACTATAGCCTATTCAACTATACTGAAAAGAAACTTACCTACATCTTAGCATAATGTACACGAAAAGAAATCGTAGACGGCGCAAGTACTTAGATGTTAAAGACTTTACGATTTAGAAGCAAGATGAGATACCGTATACTCCCCAATTGTCTCCGGATGCCAAAACCGTGGGAGAGGTTGATAATTAGAGCTCACGTCCAAAGGCACTCGTATAACACTTTGATCCATCAATACTACCATCAGCTGAGATGTTCTATAGATGAATTAAACGAAGACCAATTAAAAGATCACAAAATCAATACTTCCAAGACCTAGTTTAAAGGTAAGAGCATAATACTACGTGGTGATAGAGATAACGATGTTCCACTCAAACATAATTCAACTACGTCGTCTAGTTTTCGTCTTCTAGTCAATTCTTTTATGAATCTAAAGAAAAAAAAACAAACGAAATAGTACCCAAAAAATAAATGACCACTAAATATCTGATGAATACAGTCAGAACTACACGGATAGCACCGGCGGTCAGCTAAAGAATAGCCTCTGTAGGCAGAATAACCTAATCACTTGACCTGATAACGTTTGAACTTGACCACGGTACGCCTCACTATCTGGTTATAAGCTTGACTAAACTTTCAATTGCAAATTCGGAGTAAAATCATAACAATTCATGTATTCTCCGACTTTAAACATGCACCCATTTAGAAAGCAAATGCGCCTACCAGTTAAAAATTGATGTGACGAAAAGTATATGAACTGTGAAACAAATTGCAGAAGAATTGTGACTCCGAAAACCCATATATTGGAACCAAATAATCCACAGAAAATTAAAAAATGAGTGGAGGTAAAAAATTGAAAGATTCTGGAAGGAACTGGCAGTCAGAGCACAAATCCGAGGTACTCACAATTACACGCTACTAGAAAAGAAAAAAAAACGTGAGCCCTTAGAACTGCAAAAAACTAAGATGGCAGCGCTCAATAGGGCAGTTGGATGAAAAAAGAGTCAATACATGGTTTTATATAAAAGAGATCATAACAGTATTCAAAAAGATCGACACTTGGTAAAGTACCACCAAAAAGAAAGCATCTCGAAGAAGTAAATGCATACATACGGCAGCATAACAGAATACACGGAAATCTCAATGAACTCAACCCTGACAAAAATAAAGACATAAACTTATGAAAGCATAAGAGTAAATTCAAACCTGTCCTATCGTACGTCCAAACTCCTCAAATCCCTATACATATAAATTCAAAAAAAAAAACGAAAATTCAAGGAAACGGCTAAACGAAAATTCAAGGAAAAATCCAAGACAACAACTTTTTGACGGACCACTTGAGAGCAGAACAAAAACGACAACATGAAATGACTCAATGCAAATTTAAGCTAATGGTACTCTTCGAAGTAAGTCTGTTCATAAACGAAACACTGTAGAAGGAACTCCTCTCAATGGGAATCAAAACGAAACTAAAGAGATAATAATTTGATAAGGTCAAACTAAATCAAAAGTGTTTAAAATCCCGTCAGCTTAAAAAGAATGGCATTGAGACAAATCTTGGGAATTTTCGCTCTAATGATTCCTGAAATTTCAGAAATCTGTAGTTCTTCAAATACAACCAGATATTTCACTACGATAGATAAACTATCAATTTTCAAAACCTTCACTGGACATCAACAGGTTTAGATAGTAATCTTTCAGAAGTGTGGACCTCATCAAATTGGATCGTTCGGACCCAATTCGTACAACTTTTGCGTGAGGGCAGCCATATTCGTAGGTGTCATCTTATTCTGTTGCACAAGTCTAGTGAGCCGCGCTACACAGTGTGCACGGATACGCTTCTTCTTCATCTCCAGACCACAACATTCCACAAATTTCGTCTAAACCGAAATTTATAAAGTCTAAGAAGAAATCTCCGCCACACCATTAGGAGAAATAAAAAGATGGACGTAGTATGAAGTATTGAAGAAAACTCTCAAGGAAAAGAAAGTTGACATTAAAAGTAGGTTAACAAACAATTTGCACCGACTATTTTGTTCTTTTTAACATATTACAGGTGTTCTTTCCTTGTACTAATTGCGGATCGCTCTAGAACACTACCACCTCTTCGTATAAGGAATTGTTCAGCCTGACCAACCATTGTGCTCTTTTCGTACAACGGTTTTGCTGCACCATCGAAAATGTGTATAATGGAAGTTCTTGCCAACAAAATAGAATTCTCTTTCCTCAAGCAAAACCACATTCTCACTTTTTAGCCCGCACACCTCGTCCTCGTCTCTACTTTTACCGTCGGCTTTAATACCTTGTGGATAGGATTAAACAAATGTTCGCACCCGGTAGGGTTTTGATCTCCAGAATGCAGCGCTGAAAGTGACTCCACGTGTTAGAAAAACCCCGAAGTTTTATTTTCTTCAAGTTTTTGGAAAAGTAACTTTTACCGTCGGCTTTAATACCTAATACTAGGGTACCTATAAGGTACGTATAAGGTACCTAGGGACCTATAAGGTACCTTATACTAGGGTACGTATAGGACCTAGGGACATAACGGGGAGAACTTTGAAGTACAGGTCACGATCCTCGCACAAGAATCGAGAACACAAGCGCGTAAAACTCTCGAGGCATTCTAGATTAATTCCAGAAATCCGGAAATGAACGGCAGGGAAGAATGCCTCATTATTACGCGTGATATAGGGCAGTATATAAACCTGTTATTCTAATGGGAAGGCATATTACGCTTCCATGTGAATTCTGCGCAGTTTTTCTTCACACGACATACTCAGTGGAAGACTCATAGAAAGCTGTGAGTGTGCAAAGAAGCTATTTTTCGTTCAATGTGATTGAAATTTTGGTTCAGCTTTTTCTCTGTTTGGTTATGGAAGTGTTTGGCCGGGTAGATTGCTGTCAACTTGTCCCTTCCAGGCTCTGAGGAAGGCAAAATCCGCCGAAACGTCAGCTTGTTCGGGAATAAATAACAAAATAACACCTCGCATTTGCTAAACAAGAATACGAACAACTCTCAACTCCAGTGTTCAAGTGATCGGAAAAGTATAAACAATCGTTGAAAACCATCGCTTTCGCTAAGTGTAAACGTAAACGTATTGTAAGAGGGCGGCTTGGAAATTAATGCACGATTTGCAGGTTTATATTTCTTGCACTGTTCTAGCAACATAATTCGCCCTAATGTATAATAACCTGTCACTGCAAAGATCATTTTATTCACTCATAGTAAAATTGCACTTTTAACAAATTTTAAGTATTCGAATTACAGATATAAGAACGGCAATTTCAACTAACTTAGTTGCTGGTTAAACGGATCGAAATATTAGTGAGGCACTAGCAGTACCACCCTATGTTCTCTCGGGCCTGACGGCTCCTTGGTCGCCGAGTGAGTCGACCGTACGTCATTAAATCTTCCATCATTCCCTGTCGGGATAGAACAGCCCAAAGAGTTCTGATCGCTCTTAGAATTCCTTGAGCATCACACCTTTCTTTTAGGCGTTTCGTGAAGAACTTAGACCATCAGATCCGAGGTCTTCTTGTAGAACGTTACACAACACAAAGAATCCAGTCACTAACGGCTCCTGTCCATCGGTTGTCGTTCATACGCATTAAGCGACCGGTCAACCTTTTCTTCGAATATTTGACGTACAGAACGGCAACTCTGAGTTTTGACAGTTGACGCAAGTCGGAGTTTCGTATTCCTTCACTTACTTGCGTGACACGGGATACTCCCAGTACTGTCCTTTCGACTGCGCGTTCAACAACGCTGAGTGATATTTCATCCTGTTTATGCAGCCGCCAAATTTCTGACGCATACGTTAAGGCAGAAAGAACCGTGGAGTCGAAAAGCTGGGCACGAAGTCGGGTGTTCTCTGTTCTCCCCAAAACTTCTTCGATGCTCTTGAAAGCTCCTCAAGCCGCTCGTTTCCATCTGCTCAAATCTGGAGATAAGTCGTTCGTCATATAACTGCAGCATTTAAAGATATACGTTCCATTGAGCGTGAATGGGGCATGCGAAACCAAACCGTTCTTCATGAACATCGTTTTTGTGAGATTTAGTCGAAGACCAATCTTTCCACAGAGTTTATCAAAGTCGTCAAGCATACGTTCCGCCTGACTAATGTTTGGTGTTATAAGGACGATGTCATCAGCAAAGCGAAGATGGTGTAACTGCCGACCGTCGATTTTCACTCCCATATTATCATATTCCAATGTTCGCATGACGTTCTGGAGGGTGGCGGTAAATAATTTTGGCGAGATGGTATCGCATTGCCTAACTCCTCTTTTGACGTCAATGTTAATATCGTTGTAGAATGGTGATATCTTGATTGTGAAATTTTTGTACAACTCATGAAGAAACTTCATGTACTGAGAAGGGACTCCCTGACTATTAAGGGCTACCATGACTGCTTCTATCTCAGTTTAGTCAAAGTCGTTCCTTAAATCAATGAACGTGAGATAGAGCAGTCCTTTGTACTCTAGCAATACTTCAGTGAGTCTTGTTATCGTGTAGATTTGGTCCATCGTACTAAATCCTTTTCGAAACTCTGCTTGCTCACATGGCTGTCCTTCGTCTAATGTTCTGTCAATCCTGTTTAGTATGGCTCGAGTGAAAAGTTTGTAGACGACAAACAGTAAGCAGATTGGGCGAGGCGATAGTTGCAGATATCGTGCAGGTCACCTTTCCTGAATAATAACACGGTCTTGCCGGTCTTCCACTGAATAGAGACCTTGCATTCAGACAAGTAACGTGTGAAGAGCCGAGCCAGCGTTTACGAGGACTGGCGGGGGGTTCCTCAGGTGTTCTGGTCTTATCCTGTTCGGGCCTGGTGCTGTTCGACTTTTCACCGATGAAATGGCATGTCGGATTTCGGAAGGGAGAACCGGTGGTGCAACATATCCATCCTCCTTTGTTTCATATAACGGAACGTGGACGTGGCTATCGAAGAGATCCGAGTAGTATTCATGAATGATTTTCTCCATTGCCTTTCTGGACGCTGTAATTGTTTCGTCTGGGCGCCGGAGTGCAATCATTTTGGTCTTGTAATTGGCGAAGCTTCGGTGCGCTTTGCAAATGGTTTTCCCATCCTCTGCAGCTTCGGCCATTACTGCTGCTCTTCTCTCTCTAAGATCTTTCATCGCCTCTCTGCATTGTTTTGCAAATTCGGAAGTTAGCTCGCGGTTTCCTGCAGCTGGTGCGATTCCACGCTGGCGTATCAGCTCGAGTGTTTCTGGAGACAGACGTCTCTTGGTGACTTTCGAACTCTGAGCTTTCAGAGCCGATCGTATTCGCCGTCGATGTTATCGACAACAGTGCGTTCTCGAGGACCTCGCCGCCTTCAGAACACAAGAGTTTTAAGCAAGGGCACTTGTCTTTCTTTGCAAAGATGCGAACGGAAATGTGGTACTTTAAACAAAAATGAATGAAGTTGTGTAATAATCTCCGAACAATCCAATTTTTGACCGGATTTCGACCTTAAGAGATTTCGATTTCGTAATGTTCTAGAAACGATGCGTGTGGCGCAGTGCTCAGAGGTGCCCTGTGACACACACGTGGAATCAACCTCCGCTCCCATGGCCCACCAAGCCTTCCATCCTTCCGGGGTCGGCAAACTGGCAGCAGACTTGTCTGGGAGGATAGCAGCACTGGTTCGATACATCGGTAGGCCACCGCGAGCCATTGTAAAGGCCATAAATGCATTCAATCACCCTCATACGATGCTTAATGAAGTCAAATGCATGGTGCATCCCTCAGGGATTGATCAACGCCGAGAGCTTTATCCTTTTTTTAAAATGTTCTAGAAGATCCGCACATTCTGAAAGATGTATGAAAATAATCACTACCTAATAACTACTACGCGTTCCTCGTTTTCGATGCAGATTGAGTTGCTATGTTAGTAGCCTATCAGTTATGTAAAGGTTTGCTTAATCAAGTTTATGGTCACACTGTGGAGCACCTCGAGGCGTTAGAACTAGAGTTTTCCATATCTCTTGATCTAGTCATGTGTACAAACTTCGTCTCGTCCAAATCGTATTAGTATAACGTCCCCACCTCATTAATCAATAGAAATGTTTGTAAAAATATCATAAATGAAGTTCATGATGGTCTAATTACGATGCCACTTCTACCATCAAGATTGGACTAAAATCTAGCTAAAGCATAAAGCTAAACATACATAAAAATCCAGAGTAAGTTTTTCTCCTACGATGGAGTGGCGAAACTTGGATCGAAACCGATTGTGCAACAACATGAACTCTTTTTCCTGGGGCGTATCATCAATGTAGTCACGAATATTCTAAAATGAAAGGTAAATGAAGAACTCTAGTGAGGATCGGAAAACAAATGAACATCAAATGATGCCACCATATGGCATAAAAAATGGGCTACCACGCAACTCACCCTTTCCATCAACTGACTTTTCCAGTCGCATGTATCCTCAATAACAGAATGGTAAATTTTTGAAGATGATGGTCCAGGAACTCTTTAAAAGATTACTCGTACAAATTCAGAAAATAAAAAACAAAGTTACACCTAACTGAGAGTACGTCGGATGCACAAACGACATTTCACCAAAAGGAATAATCTGTGCTTTTGGAAGATCGTTTTTTCTTTTTATCGGTAATTCTTCTGGTGGAGCATACCGAGGTTTTCGTTGTGGCGAGGCGGCTCCCCTGAATTTATTAAGTAAGGTGGATCCACCAAAACAACAACCGCAACAAAGTCCTACTTTGACACCACTTCACTTACACAGGTACTCCTTTGCTTGGTTTCCGTTCAGTCCGTGGATTTTCCCACTGTAGTCGAGAAATAACGCTTGATACGGCAAAATGAATGACCGATGAAGTATACGCCTGAAGACCATAACAACTGAAGGTGAGGATTAACATAACAGACCACATTACTACCAAACTGGATACTCACTGTTTTCTCGAATTTGAAGACTGGATATGAGCATCGTAGGTGCTCCTCAAGTTCCTCAACGTTTTGGAACGTCTTTCTGGTGAAAGGACAAAGCAGTCCAGAAACACAGTCAAGGACGTCAGGCGGCAGAGCACAATCAAGTGAAGTTGACAAACGATTAGACTTTTGCACCGAAACTGCTTGCGTGGAAGATTTTTGCGGTGATCGCGGGGCTCTACGAGGTAATGGAAGAACACCGCGATTTTCCTTGTCCGAAGAAGGACTACAACGCATAGTCGTTGGCGTCTCGTTGCCCAAACGAGCGTCTTTACAATGATACCTAAATGTAAATTATGCCCCTATTTATAGTAAGCAATAATTCATCACAATGTTACTTTTTGAAGAAAGGCGGGATTGCGGGTTGAGTTAGTTATCCAAACAAACTATCCACTTCTACTTTAAGAACTTCTCCAAACGGTTTACCGCCTTATCGTGACAGGTGATCCTGGGTGTCGGGCTGCGAAGTACAGTAGAGGGATTCATCTTCCCAGCAGGGTCTCTCAAGCTGAGTCTCAACGAATCTGGCGTTTCTACTAGGAAGCCTAGCTCAGAGTAAACCAAAATTAGGATCCACCACAGGATATATCTCCGTCCTGGTATCAAATTAGTCGCATGGTGGCCAATCTCCCTCTGATCTACAACGGCTGCGACTGCCTGTGGTGGTGGCGACCTGAAACAGACTTTGGCCAGGCTGACCTCAGCATTCCAGGGGACCACAAATGGCTACACCAACAAATCTCCGAAAAAATGCAGACCATGCTGGGACCCGCACAACCAGTGAAGACGGGCCACCCAAGTATCCAAGGAAGTAAGTATCTTAATAACTAAGGAATTTTATACAAATTAGGTCTCCACTTGAAATAAACACTAATGGGTAAAGATATGGATAACGGATATATATAAAATGAAAACTTTATGACGGAGTAAATGATGCTTTGGAATGATGTAAAGCGAACCACACAGAAACATCATTCGCTATCAGCTCCTCTGCCATTCGTTTAATTCGAGAATTCATAATCTCTTTCACCATACTCCAGTTGTATTCGACATGTTCGTCGCTAATCCCGAAATTAATCAAGCCAATCGGACCAGCTGAGCATAATTTCTGAAGAAAATAATACAACTTTGATGTTAGCAGAACTACATACAATGTTTATAGCACACAAAGTACTTGGAAGTTCAACCACTAGGAAACTGAGATATGAGCAAAACTTGGAACCTCAGGTGCGCTTCGAACCCGTGCTTACTGTCCCCACAAACTCACATGTTACTGAAAATATTCCAAAAAGAAAGCAAGTGACCTTCCCGATTCTGGCAAATTCCGCTAGTTGTGCACAATCCCACATCCATTTTTCTTCAGTGAACTCGAATGAAACACCACCAACACTATCCGTGTCACTGTTGCTAAAAATAACCTACTTGATATGCCTACAATTAGAGTACATATAGGCAATTATATCACCCTTACATTAAAACGACAGTATGGTTCCCAAACATTGGACGCACACCATCCTTCCCACCAGTGGCGACTTTTCGCACACCATAGAGGACGCGCTAAATGAACAATAGAGGGAATCTACCCAGTTAACAACAATAATGGATTTTAACGCCTTAATAATAGAACATTCTCCCAACGGTTCACCTCCATGTCGTGGCTTGGCTGGATGATGTTCCTGAATGTCTGACTGTGCGGTACAGCGGAGGATCCATCCCACATCACCGTCCCCGAAGCTGAGGAGTCCGATGGTTCCGTCGGGAAACCCAGCTAAGAGTGAATCAATACCAGGATCCACCACCGTCCTGGTATCAAACTAGTCGCATGGTGGCAAATCTTCTTCTAATCCACAAGGGCGTCGACTGCCTGTGGTGGTGACGACGGGGGCGATACTCTAGCTCGGTTGACCTCGAGACTCCAAGGAACCAGAACGACTAAGCCAGCAAAACTCAAAAAAAATGGAAATTATGCTGGGGTCCGCACAACCAGTGAAAACGGTCCATCCAACTATCCAAGGAATAACAGAACATAACTCGAAATTTCCCCTCTTTGCTTTCTTAAACCATTAAAACAATTGGCTTATATCATAAGGTAAACAGTATATTCCTATAATTTGAGGCCCACATTTCTTTCGTTCCACTATGAAAAATTTCGAAAATTATCAAATATACAGTTAGAGGAAAGTCTTAAAAAGCAGCAAGTAGAAGTAAAATTTATGTTCCACCAAATGACACATTAGATGGGCACCTTAGATTCAGGGAAGAAGTCAGAACAGTGGCCTTCAAAATAATAAAAGTATTATAATAGAAACCTTCAAAACAGGGAATTTCTTTACGTCAGGATCTACATCACTTCTTGACCGACCAATCTTCCGAGCTAAAACAAAGTGACAAAAAATAATGTGAAATAAAATAAATAACAAAAAGCTAACTTTCGTTAACTTACCCGAACCAATATAATGGTATCTCTGCTCGATGTGGACTTTCACTACGAAGTAAATATTGCTTAAAAAAGTGGAAAAATATTCTTAAGCACAAAAGAAAAGTAAACTTGGAGGCAGAGATCCTTATCTTAAACCGAAAAGCTATGGCAACGAGATAAAACATACAGAGCGTTTTTCTCCACTGATGGTGGAACAGCATAGTAAAGCACTGGTGACTTCTGACGATGTGTGCTCTTATAAGGCACGATGACGCTGTTAACGAAATCCTAAGGTTTAGAATTAATTCAAATCTAAACTTAAACTAGGTTTAAAAATAAGCAAAAATTAATTTTTACGAAACATAATGGGAAATGAACCTTCTGGATAACTTTATCAGCACTGCAGGAAACAATATAAACTTCTGTGGTAACGTCATTAAGACCTGTAAGTAACGATACGAACCGAAGAGAATAGTGAACACTGAATTACTGTTAACCTAAAAAGCCACTATCTTCATGGCAAAAGGCTACATTAAAAGTTGTCGCTGACAGAATACTATTAACAATACAACCACAACGTTGCAGAGATATTTGCAAAACTCTGGACCGCAGTTATGGTGGGGAACGAACGCGCTATTGTCCTTTCCGGGGAGTAACGCGTTCACCACCACATCATGCGAGTCCTTCGTTTCGCCTGTCTCTCAGCTATTTCTGTTTATCTTTGCCGCAGCAATCAAAAAACCGGTGATCCGCATGATGTGGTGGTGAACGCGTTACTCCCCGGAAAGGACAATAGCGCGTTCGTTCCCCACCATAGACACCTGCGGTCCAGAGTTTTGCAAGTATCTCAGCAACGTTGTGGTTGTATTTCGCTTAGTACTCTGCCGCGAAATTATAATAGGCAGAAAATAAAAAGGTATAACATTGTGATTTCAACTATTAACAATGTTTGAAAGATTCAAACATTAGTATTCCCGCTGACTTGTGCACACGTTTAACTTATGAATTTGAGCAGAAAAACGAGAATGAGAGTGAAATAATTCTTTGTAGACAAACAACTTTTGGCCTTATACCAAAAACCTTCTTAACACTCAGCCGACTGACGAATATATAAGATGACACAGTAATAATTCAATCATAAACTTCAAAGAGTTATAAACGCGTCGCTTTCTTGTTCCGCAATAGCGATACAACATACATTTACTTCTACACAAAAACACATACAGTACAACAATGGCTGACGTTTCGGCAGCATCGCCTTCTTCGCAGCCGTTTATAGTTGTTCTTCCTCAGTGGTAGGCACGTAGAAAAGGCTGTGAAGAAGGCGATGCTGCCGAAGCACGAACTGCTGTTGTATTGTATATGCTTTTGCGCGGAAGTAAAGTATGCTGCATAACAACCTCGCGATTGCTGAGAAAGAAAACGACGCATTTATAACCCAATGCCGAGATTAACAGAGAGTCGATGGTCAAAGAGTTATTCCAAATAATTATCCACTTACCAGGACAAAGAGGATTGGCGTAGTTGAAGAACTCGAAAGTGGTAATCTGCCTTATTCCCCTCGAAATCTGATAAATATTAAAATTCTTCAGGATAAAACGCTCGAGATATGTTTTTGTTCTGTGTAGCGGCGATGATAGTGAGAAAGAGCAAAGCTTACATGGCGATTCCCTCACTAATTGCTGACTTTTTGGATGGTTTAGTGAAAAAGAGTTGAGAAACATTTAGGGCAACTAGGATATAAGAAATATACAGGGTATTAGGAAAAAACCCCAACGGTTTACCGCCTCACGGTGGCTGTGAGGTGTTCTTGGGTGTTGGGCTGTGATGTACAGCGGGGGGATTCGTCCCCCCAGCATGATCTCCCAAGCTGAGGAGTCAGACGTTTCCATCATGAAGCCCAGCTAACAGTAAACCAATACCAGGTGCCCTCACCCTCCTGGTATCAACCTAATCGCATGGTGGGTAATCTCCCTCTGATCCACAATGGCGGCGATTGCTTGGGCTGGTGACAACATGGGCAGACTTTGGCCAGGTAGGCTGGATACCTCGGGATTTCAGGGTAACACAGTGGCTAAACCAGCAAAATTTCGAGGAAATAGAAACTATGCTAAGGCCCTCACAATCAGTGAAGATGGGCCATCTGAGTATCCAAGTATCAGAAAAGAATATCAGCCGCTTATACAGAAAACAATTATAGCAACAACTGAAAAGATAAAAAAAACCAATTCTTGATCCACCAAGAAGAAAATAAAAAGGAAAAAGTAATAGATGAAATGTACGGAAGAACTAGTAAATTACTGATCACTAGTATATTCCCGTCATCACGAGCCCTGTGATAGTTCGATTCCGCTCCGGGCCAACCAAGCCTCTCATCACTCCGATATCGGTAAATTGGTGCTAGATTTGTCTGGGAAAAAATCACCCTCTGCAAGCCAATTGGGAGCGCTCCAGCCCAGCTATCTAAGGACTCCAGGGAAAATTGCTCGACGAGCATTCTACGACATTCAAGATGAAATGAAAATCTTGAAGCAGCAACCAATGCCACACGTAAAGTTGGAAGATATTCGTGGATGATGGATGCGAGGAATTGAATGTGAGAAGCGCCGGGATCTGCATAGCAGACGTGAAGACGAGTGAAATAAAATAAAAAATAAAAAATAAGTATAGCAATGGCTGGAAAATGGCAAATCAAGAACTAAGCATATTTTAAAAATTTGTTAGCACTGCTGCACTTACACACTGTTCAATTCGCTTTATCTGCGTAATTTTCTCAATAATGTCCTGACGGCTCTGAGATCTCGCACACTTCTTTGGACGTTTGGAAAACGAATTCGATAGAACAGCATGATACTCAGCACGGGTAAAGTAATGGTCCCATAATTCTAAAACTAACATAGGGCTAGAAATGTCACCATAAAATGTGAATGAAAAGTGTAGGACGCAAACCTTGAACACCAACTAACTCGGGTGTGGAAAGGGAGCTTTCGCTTGATAGTTTGTTTTCGTTACTAGACATTGACGATTCAGCACACGCAACAGTACCTGTAGAACAAAGTTCCTACAAGAATAAATCTGTAAATAAGAACGCCTAATTTACAAGTACAGAGAGCAGCACGTAAAATTACCTAATCTAGACGACGAACATGACGCCTCTGAAGAACCACTGAGATCAGTCGGCACATAACTACCTGTTGGAGAACACGACGAAGCTGAAGGTGGTAAAAATAATGATCGTAGCAAACACTATGACGAAATACACTCAGAACAAGTTCAAGAAAAGAAAGAAAACTTCCACTCGTTCCACCACGACTCTGAGGAGCTCGAAATCGTCGAAACATCAGCAATTGACCAACAACAACAATAACAGCAGCAGCAACAACGACAACAACAACAACAACAACGACAACAACGATGACGACGACGACGACAACAACAACAACAATAACAAGAAAAACAAGGATAACGACACCTTATACCACACCTGCATAAGCTCAACAAGATCGGTTCACAAGAAAGAAAACTATTTGAAAGGAAAAAAACCGCAAGAGACGATCTATACCACCTGGTCTGCAGTTCGTTGCGCTGGTACGAGGACGCTGACCGTCACTTGACGATGGAAAATGTGACGATTCGTCTACGACTGCTTTTTTCGTAGTTAATACTGAACCACGATTCCTCCCCTTTCGTTGACGACCTCGTTTTCGTTGTGTTGCGACCTGCACTCACTCTACTATCGAAATAACCAAGAACCGCATGAAATTTCTGGATCTCAAGGTTTAGGATCTAAGCACTAAAGTTAAACTATTTAAAGTAACCTCACCGGCGTGTTAGCCAATTTGGAAGCATCTTTCAGAGCATGCATTTCCGGATTTAGCTGTTCTGTCGTGTCTGAAAAGGTTAAACAGTTGTAAAGGAAAGTAAGAAAATCGCAACAAAGCACGACCACAACGACTATGAGCTACTTTGTTGCTAACTTTCTTAGTAGAACTTGAACCCAAGTACAGTTGGGACGGAAGGAAGTCGGTCGCCGAGCAGCTCTAACCGATCAATAACGTATTCGGCAACGCTGGTCAATAAGATGACTTAAGAAATTTCCTAAACCCTTACGAAAACCATAGGAAGGTTTCTTCCTACAGGTTATAACTCTTAGTTAAGTTAAAGTGGATTACAAAATGGATACAGTGGATTAAAAAATACGTAGCTCTTAAAAATAGCACCATTTAAATCACGGAAACCCTAACAGATGAAATTCCCACTACCCAGGTCAGAAATCCAGGAAAAAAGAACTCTCAAGCAAAACAGTAAACTATTCAGAAGGAAAGAATGTAAGAGAGTAATTACCGAAGACTAAAAAGCGGCAGAGGTCTCAAAAATTATGGGCATCGATTTTGCGCGAAAAATTCAACTCTATTGACAAACGCTTGACTTCCAGTTATCGATTTGAAGAGGTCAAATCTGATTACTAGTATTTGCAACGACGTCATGAGTAAAGAATAATAATGAAAGTACGTTGATCAGTGTAAACAACATTAGCGCAGGAACGCGCCTTCGATGCGTAAATGGCGTTTTATCTGAGCAAGTGGCGCGAAAATAAAGAATTCAAATCCACGAGCGCCTTCTGCGCGACGTGCTACTTCTTGAGGAAAAATTTTCAATGTTTATCAATTACTTGGATTATTGCTGGCTAAAAATTGTTAGGATACTGGAAGATTCAATGGAGTTGTTAATTTCAGACTCCCTTTATCCCCGTTATTATGTATTTAGCCGTTGCCCGATTTTATATCAGGCCTTTCCGAACTGATATCGGATTTCAACCTGTATTGCCAAATGCTTATCTTAGTCTGGAATAAATCATACTACTATAGATACTTAATTAAATACTAGCTGTAAATACTTTGCTAATCGAGATAGAAACCGCTAGAATCTACATTTTTCTTTTCAACGAGGAACAAACTAGTTATTTGGGTTTCATAACCCTTCACGACCTCGGCCATCTTCGCGTGTCGTGGCCCGTCGGACTGCCGCGTGTCATTGGAGCGCAATTGAGTAGCGCAAATGAGGCGTGCATTGAAATCAAGATGTACGCTCCGAGAAGTAAACCAGTGTACGTGTTAGAATGAATGCGCATGATCGCGAAAGGGTTAATACTCTAGAATTTTTCAATTTATGAAATCTTTGCAGACAGTCTTGGCTTCGGCTTGATTTCCGAAGCATTTATTGTACAGAAAATTGCCGAGATACTTGGATAAACGGTAGTTGGTAGGCTAGAAATCCGGATAGTATGGTAGATGAGGCATAGTTTCGTAGACCAGTTCCTTCAACTTCTGTAGCTTCGGTGGTGCGATATATGGCAGCGCAATTGACCAATGCGCAGCACAGCCTTTAGGATTTTTACTACCGTTCTTGGATTTTCTTGAAGCGTTTTTCCGTAGTTGTCGTCGTTTCATCTGGTTTCAAGAAGTGATAATAAATCGAACCAATGAGAGGCCACCAAAATGTCAACATGGGTTTCTTTTGGTCAAACTTTGGCCGCTGCAGAGCTTCATCGGGGTCTATTTAGTGGGCGTATCGTCGCTAATTGTCCTAAGGGATTCAGTACTCTCAAACATTGCACTGAGACCCGGTAACGGGCCGTTCTGGTTAAGAGCCGACATTAGTCGGTGATTTCTTTGATTGCCAACCAATTCGTGCGGCACCCATTTGTCGAGTTTCTTCAATCTTCTAATGTTCCTTAGACGATCTAAAACAGATGAGATGCTCATATCGAGTTCTTCTGCAAGTCCTCGAGCAGTTCTGTGAATATATGCTTACACTAAGCCGTCAGTTCATCGTCGTCAATGGCAGAAGCGTGTCCGCCACCGACCTCTCTCATCTTCAACGTCAGATTCTCGAAGACGAAGTCTTTGAAGTTAATGTCGCACTCTGTATTCATGTACACTTCCTTGGCCCCACTCCTCGTTAAGGCTTCGAGCCGTTTGTACTGCAGTACGATCGAGTTTGAATTCGTAGAAATAAACTCGTCGAAATCTCCGTTTTGGCACCTGGAACTCTAACCCTTAAACTTTGCCAAAAATACATATTGCATTTCAATCAAGCAGAGTAAAAGTGCCTACAGTGAGCTTCGTAGTGATATAATATAACGAACTATTCAAAAAAACTTGCTAAAGCATATAAAAGAAGATAGGAGTTACAAATCTGATATTAATTTCCAAAAGAACATGATAGATTTGATAGAAGCCAGAAGAGAAACGCGTGTAGCGCAGTGCTCGAAGGCGCCGTGCAATATACGTGGAATGGATCCCCGCCCCCAGACTCACCAGGCCTTCCATCTCTTCGGGGTCGGCAAATTGCTATTAGACTTGTCTGGGAGGATAGCAGCACTGGCTCGATACATCGGCAGGCCATCGCGAGTCATTGTAAAGGCCAGATGTGCATTGAATCGTATCCAACGATGCTTAATGAAGTCGAATGCATGACGCATCTCTCAAGAATTGATCATCACCATGAGCTTTATCCTTCATGGATCCGATAAGATTCAGCAAATCAGCAATGCAGATACATAAACTCAAAGCACCGAAAGCTTTCTTCAGTTGCTTAACATTAAGAGGAAGTAGATAAATAGGTGAACATGATGTAAAAGCTAAATTTTCGATACATTTAAACTGCAACCATCCGTTGCAAAAAGCCGGTCAATAACACACTATAGGATTTGTAACATCAACGGGAATTTCAATGGGATTCTATCCATGTTGGCATTCGATCGATGACTTTATATCCGACATCAATTGTCTGCTGACGTTTTACGACGTTTTACGAAATGTAAATAATACAATGATTTTCTGAACATGATTACTTAGACATCATCCTCTATAAGATGTTTCACTTCTCAGAGAGGATAAAGCACCCGTCAAGACAAGTGTCTCAAGGGTCCGCCATTCAGTCGACTCTGTTTTTAGCGTCGTGGAGGTGATTGAGTGCATATTTGCTCCACGTACTCGTAAAGCCTACCGATGTCTCAAGTCAGTGTTCTTATCGCCCAGAAAAGCACGACACCACTTGCAGATTCGGAAGGACGAAGAACACTTAGAGCCCGCACGTACGATCGAAAAACGACAACGTGTGTATGGCAGGCAGCTCATATCTAACCATACGCGCCATTTTTTCTTCATGCACATAAAAATTCCTTTTCGTGGTGGCATCCTCATTGAAGAGGAATACCACTTCCCGGAAGTACTGAACGATGCCGTTTTGGTGGACGCCCACGGAGCCACTGTTTGTCGTGTCAGTGGTGCGTTCTCCGAAGACTTCGATTTGAGTGCACGTCGATAACCTGCACACCTTTACATTTGATCATAGAATGCACTACAATCGTCATTATCGTCTACTACGCGGATATGGCATGTTCCTGCCATAAGTCGTAGCACGAAACATCACGCTGTTAAAGAAACTCAGTAGTAATAATGCCAAAGTATACAACGACAAGACGGCAAGAAGACTGGTGGTTATTACTACTTACCATAGTTAGTAAATCAAGATCAGCTGCTTTTCGTTGGTGATGTCCAGTCTATTGAACACAGTTGATGGATCCATTACAAACAATTTGTTTCTCCACAGACATTCACCTGCATCGCCTGTAGTCCCGTTGATCGTCGAGTGACTCAAGCGGGCGCCAGTAAATGTTCCATTTTTCGTTGTCGCGTGTAAGAGTAGCCCAGTGAGTTCTGCTCACTCTAGGGACTCGTGAGCATCATATCTTTTTTAACTTATTATTTAGTGCCTATTCTTTTTAACGGCAGGGTATATATTGCGAAATATAACTTCGGAAAGGACAATAGCGCGTTCGTTCCCCACCACAGACACCTGCGGTCCGGAGTTTTGCAAATATCTCAACATCATATCTTTCTTCTAGGCTCTTCATGAAGAACTATGACCGTCGGGTCGGTGGCCTTCCCGCAGTGCGTTTGACACTCCGAGGAATCCAGTCACTAACGGCTCTTATCCATCAGTTGTCATTCATACGCATTACGTGTCCGGCCCACCTTATCTAGGACTGTTTGGCGTACAAAACGGCATCTTGATCGTTAACGCAGGTCGAAGTTTCGGATCCCATCCCTTACTTGTGTGGAACAGTATACTCCTGGCATCGTCCTTTCGACTGCGCGTTCGATAACGCTGAGCGATCTTTCATCCTGCTTACGCAGCGACCAGGTTTCTGACGCATACGTTAGGGCAGGAAATACCTTTAAGTCGAAAAAGTGGGAACGGAGTTGGGTGTTCTTTGCTCTCTTCACTAAATCTTCGATGCTCTTGAAAGCTCTCTAAGCCACGCGTTTCCTCAGCTCTGGAGCTAGGTCGTTCATCATATTTGTTTCCCGACCTAGATAGACATAACTGGAGCATTTGGAGATATTCGTTCCATTGAGCGTGAATGGAGCATACAAAACCAATCCATTCTTCATGAACATCGTTTTTGTGAGATTTAGTCGAAGACCAAACTTTCCACAGGTTTTATCAAAGTCGTCAAGCATACGTTCCGCTTGGCTAATGTTTGGTGTTCTAAGGACGATGTAATCAGCAAAGCCAAGATGGTGTAGCTGCCGACCATCAATTTTCACTTCCATATTATCCCATTCTGATGTTCGCATGACGTTCTGGAGGGTGGCGGTAAATAATTTTGGCGAGATGGTATCGCCTTGCCCCGCTCCTCTTTTTACGTCAATGTTAATATCGTAGAATGGTGATATCTGGTTCCGATTAGTTAATTCTCTCATCGGAAGGGATAGTATTACATAATGGTAACCAGCAGCTTTTGTAATGTGGATGACACGATTTTCACTTAGTGACATCGATGAAA